TAGATCACAGAAGACGTCAAAATGTGGTAAGAACATCAGTGACACACTCGGCTATCGCCTCGTGTGCCACTTTTTTGTTCTTACCACATTTTTACGTCGTCTGTGATCTATTACTGAACAGACGCACGGCAACATGGAATCTATTTGTTAAATACATTGAACTCACTATCTCTTTTCTGATTGGTCGAAAGCGTACAGTGAATTTTCGAAAACAGCGCGTGTGACGCCATTTCTGCAGATTATACAATAATCATGTCAAGGACACTCAAGGTCATAATCCCTACCTCGACCTTGATTATTCAGGATACCACAAAAGCCTCATCTAATAATTGTTTATAGTCTGTTCGTCTTTATATATCCGAGCCACGGCTTACTGAACAGCTTCATACTGCATACCTCATCTGCACAGAAGTCATAGTTGTTATATTCCAATTAAGCTTTGAAGTTAGCTAGACATCGCAAAAGATTATCGATTTTGCCACCTTTATTCCACTGAAACGTTTTATCCTTTCCAGTGATTTTGTTTCCTGGCAAACAAAATCAATGCGCATCCCCAAGTTAGCTGTCAGCCCGGGGGAGTTTTTTCAGCCCGTTTGCAAGGGCTGAAAATTTCAGCCCGGTTTTTCAAAGCAGGCTGGAATTTTGAGCAATAAATACTTGTAATCCAAAAGGATCAGTTGCTCCGTGGCACAGTAAACAGTTCAAAGTTGTAAATAGTAATAATTCAGTACCAAATTAAACTCGATGTTTATAGCAGACGTTTCGGGCCTAGCCCTTCCTCAGTGCTAAGTTTAGTTTTGAAAGTGAAACTAGCCAGGAAAACTAAATTTTGCACGGAGGAAGGGCTAGGCCCGAAACGTCTGCCATAAACATCGAGTTGAATTTGGCACTGAAGTATTACTATTTACAGTATTTAAAATTTTCAGCCCCAGCTGAATCTCAACCCGGGTAAAACCTTCTCCATGTAATCGCCGATTTTTTTTTTTTTCCCGCGAGGATTTGTTTCAGAAACCGGGCTGAAATTCCTTCGCTCGCCGTTTACCGCGCTGCGCTCGAACACCTGAAAGGGTCTGGGCTAAGGTGCGTTTTAGGCGCAAACTTAGAGGCTCCTCAAAACATTACAGGGTGGTGAAGGTTTCAAATTTTAATATAGTTTTCATATACTATTTCTCTTCAGAATATACAATTTTTAAGAGGGTTGCTATATTTGCATTTACAAGCATTTAAACACTACAAAGCTAATAATATATAAACAGTCTTAAGAGTTCAACAGACGATATTTACTCACACCAAGAAAAGTACACCTGATGTTTCAATAATTTCACAAATTCCTGAATCACAACGGGTGGATTGAAAAATGTTCCTTATGTTACATTAGCATTTCTGTCGCTAATCTTCTCTCGCTCTAAAATTTGAGCAATAAGGATAACAAGGCTGGGGAGAGCGCGCAGTATTCGCAACAGCGGACGGTACATTTTGGTTTTCCGTTCCGTCCTGTTTGAGTTGCTCCGCCTACCGACAATACTTGTGAACTATTTCGTTCGTAATTCTTCTGGCAGAATTTTATTTAAGCCTGCTGTTCGTTTCTTTGTTGCTGGCACAGAGGAAATCGTTCAACTTTGTGGAAACATCCCCCCTACGTAGGATTTTTCGAAGACGACAAGTTATCACCGATGACACAACTATTCTGAAAGAATCTACCTGTTTAGATTTTGCGCTTTGCTCCAAAATATATCGAACAAATCAACGTAAACCACGTGAAAACTCTGTTCAGGTACCCTCTGCATAACTGAGACAACCTACCCTGTCGTCTACCTTGTATTATAACAAGGAATTCTACTTTTAAAACAATCTCGTTCCCTAGGCCCTCGGTTCACATTGACTGGGCGAGTCCTGGAAATGAGATTGCTGTGAGGCGAGATGGTTTTGAGCATACGCATGAGATCTGAGAACTGATTCGTATTTTATTTGTCGTCGACAAACTTACAAGGACTTATCTATATCTGGACTGGAAAATTTGATGGTCATCTCGGGATGAAAAGAGATAGGCTAGTTAGAGAGAGAGAGAGGGAGAGAGAGCGTGTTTAGGACCGATGTGGAAAGACCTTCTGTGCAAGTTTTAACATTACTTAGTTTTATAAACTTCTGATCATATAACGTGCGCTTTGATTGGTTGTATTGTCGTTTTGCATGACGCTGTGTCATTGCGGTTATGACGATAAAGAAATACCAAACGGTTCCCACCAGTTTCTATGATAACCATATTTCAAACACTCCAGAAAGTTTGCAAGAATTCGAAAACTTAAGCCGCAAACAAGAGCGATGAATTTCACCTTTTTCAAATTCTAAAATTTCTCGAGCGTTTCCATAAAGAAAGTTCACATCGCACTCGGGTCAAAGAATAGTGCGAACCGTTTCTGGGTTCAGTATGAACTTCTCATATTCACAAACGGTCCGACAAGCGACTACGAGATGAGACTCACCCCCCAGCGGGGCGGGGGGCGGGGGGTGAGGGTACTCCCATATGAAAGGTCGGGGATACTCATCACGCACAGGGTATAAATCAAGGATTCTGGTCTCACTCAGGGTGTTCGAGGCGAAACGCCACTATTTTACTATTCTACTCTCAAAGTATCTTTTAGAGTGCACTTGAAGAAATTCAAAAGAATAATACAAAACGCTCCGTTTTTAGGCTCGATTTTTGCCGGTCTCTTGAGTCTGGTCTACTAGCGAAGGCTCCTTTCCTGAACGAAGGCTGGTAATCAAGCCTAGTCTGTTTTAAGAGGTATCTTTTAGGGGTCAAATGAAGCTTAAGCCATGCCCCCATTGGTTTCCTTTAGGGGTTTGATTCAAATTTTTCCACGAGCATCCCCCACCTTTTCATATGGGAGTTCCCCCGGGCCCCGCGAGAGCCACGAGATAGACAAATAATATAGATTATTGTTTAGTATTTAAAAGAAAAGAGAGCATCGAACACAACATGCACAGTAATTATTAATTTCTTCAAATACAAAATTAGCAACACTGCTTTTGAATCTGGTAACGAACGGCTTCGAATCTGAAGCAAATGTTTTTTTTTTTTTTTACATATTGGCAAGTCCGTTTTTCGATTACATTTTTTAAATTATTATTGCACACAATGTATGCTTCAATTACCCAAGGAGAGCAACACAGTACAGCACTTTAAAGAATGGTGCTAGGTTGCAAATAATAAAAATAAAAAATAAAAAATATATACTTAACTGACAAAGACAATTATCCAAGATGGATAAGGGTTTCAACGGAGGTTGCCTACACTACAAAAGATGGCATCAACAATGTTTATCTCTACACTTTCCACCTGTTGTGACAATTATTTCATTACACGAGCTAGAAGTTCTCTTTTGAGACTGGCACTGTAAAGGGATCAAGAGGCTTCGACAGCTACCAGCCTGCGCCAACAACGCACCTTTCTTTGAACAGCGGTATAAATCCTTGACCATGCGCAAACATCAGTTCACGTGATTCTCGTCACAGTTGTTGATCTTTGCATTGGGTTTTTCTGGAGTAGGTTTATTTAACTGGCGGACAGCCACGAAATAAAATAGGCTCACCATGGTGACAACGGCGTGGAGAGCGGTCAAAACGATAAGAACTTTGGTGCGAAGAGAGATGCTGGCCAGAGCCAAAACTGCGAGAAAGAAAAAAGTAATTTTGGACAAAATCAGAATACTTCTACCGCTATTATGTTTCAAACAATTACGAATAACACCAAAATCAAGCTTGAAGTGAATTACGCGCGTTTTCTTCGGTTTAACATCAGCCGCAACTTTTCCCGCGATTTTTGTGCAACGGAGTAATATTTTTCCGCGCTTTTGGTGCAACGGTTTAATATTTTCCCGCGCTTGCCACTGCAGTCACATGTTTTCCCGCGTCTGACAACAGTTACCTGTTTTGATGCGCTTGGTGCCGTTTACATTTTGGTTTGAAGCTCTAATGGGTTCCTTTTGGTACTTGCTTTATTATTGTGACTGTTCATATGTAATACCTTTGCTTTTGGCTTCACGAACCGTTCTATCACTAGCGAAATGGCGCTGTAAGCGCAAAGCGAAAAGAAATACGAATTTATGTCTAAAAATGGCAGTCAAGAGACGGTGAAATCTTAGGAACGGCTTTATGTATGACGATACTGACAAGCCTTGCTACCAAGCAAAAGACATATCTGCGAAAAAGATCAAACAACTGTGCCGTAAAGCAGCAAAATAGAACGCCATGTTAATAAAGATTTTAATTTGGACAATTGTAAAATTTGGAATAAATGTTACTTACAGAAAGTCGCTGCTCCGCAGTACGTCGAATGAAGCACTAATATGCGTCTGTGGAAGAAAAAAAAATGGGTTTGGAGTTATATTAGTCAGTTAATTCAAGCCAGGTGTACCAAGTAAGCACAGCAACTTACTTTATAGACGATATCGTTGTAGGTTTTGCACCCCATGAAATACCAACGATTCCTAAAACATGGAGAGAGATCAGAAGAGATAGATCATTACTGGAGACCTCACAACTTAGAATCGGTACCTCCATTTACTGTGCAGACCGTTTGAAGTAAATTAAGATTGGCGACTGAAAGATCATGGATTAGTCGGTCGCTCTGTCTGTCTGTCTGTCTGTCTGTCTGTCTGTCTGTCTGTCTGTCTGTCTAATTTACTCTCCATCGATTGGTCGAATCCCTATTCAAGTCATCATCTTTGACTTGAATCTTTCCTTTCATTTTTTTTTCTTGATTTTGTTTTGGCCAATGGGAAACCGCGTTAGTCTGTGAGGAGAAGAGAAATAACTGCCGCAAACCTTAACTTAAATCTCAGAACATCGTCAGTTGAAAAGTGCACGTACCTATCAAAGCGCTGGCCAGAAGTCGGCAACATAATGAGCCGGCGAATGTGGTGGATTCTTTACTGTCACCCACAGCACGTAGACACTGGCTTGGAAATATCAACAACTGAAAGAATAATAAAAATATAAAAAGATTCAACAACATATAACTAGGATAAAAACTGTTAGGTAGCCCGGATTTAATAGGTTCTTTCAATTTTACATTTCAAAGCGGGACTGAAAACCACGCGAAGCGCACGCGAGACCGTCGCCCGCGTTTCGCGTTTATACGTCCACGTGGAGTGGTTTCTATGACAGTCTAGCTTGTATTGTACTTACCAAAAGTGAAACTACAGAAAGGAAAACTGGCACCACAACCTGCCATGTCCTACGACAAAAGAAAACACAAAGATAAACAATAAAAATTAGGTCCAAAAAGTAAAATACTCTCGACATAAACTGTGCTGTGCTTAGGATAAACTCGAGCCAACGCGGGTCAGCAGTTTGGCGCACAGGACATGCGCATCATGCAGGGTCGCTATATTCGCTAAATCTGGGTTCGCAGGTAAGAACCTGCTTCCTGCACTGGCTTGTTTTTTGCTAAGCGCAAAGGGCGATTGGGAGAGTAGGAGTGAGCAAGAAAGCCCAAGCGTGAGTTGGTAGTGAGTGAGGAGCGCGAGCGCAGGGAGCGATGGGAAGGAGAAAACCATGATCTCCTGCGCCTCTAATTTTTTTTTCTCTCGCGCGGGCGACTGGGGACGAGGCAGGGCAAGGACTCGAGTGTTTGTAAAATACTGAAGGCGCCTCGAGAGAAATGTCTGATCTGTTTGATTGAAGTAATTATCGACATATTGAGACAGCACTCATGGTTCATCACGAAGGACAACTGTTCGGTGGGAATTCAAAGTAACACAGGACAAAATAAGACAACTTACTCATATCCCCTTGGTATACTGATAAAGTAAGATTCGTGGCTTCCAAGCACTTGTAGAACCTAACAACAGTAAGATGATCAAGATTAGTTTCAAGATATGCTTAGACTGTGTCACAGCCGCCCTTTCCGAAAGAAATCCAATTTCTTTCGGGAAGTGCGACCGTGAGACAGGCTACAATATACTCTCTAAATGAGCCTGGAGAGAAAGGATTAGAAGATTGAAGACATGCTGTTCAACCTGGAACATTTTGAAACTCATTTTTGGACGGATATCTAAATAACTTAAACTAGTCAACCTCGTTCCCACGCCTGGAGGAAGAGGGAGTCTATGAAAGAGGGAATTCTACAAAATCAGGGTGGGACTTTCGATTTGTTTCTACGTTTCAGAAAAAAAAATTCTTGGTTACTTGAGGTCACGGCCGCGCTCCCGCCTCCTGACTGCATTTCTGGGCATGCGTGCCGCCTAGCATGTCGACCTTGTACAGGACATTAGAGTTTTCTAAGTATATTAGTTGTAGACGTATAAAACTGCGAACTGAGAAAGAAACTCCGTTGAAAGATTGTTGCTATCACATGTAACAAGACGAAAATCAAACCGCACTTTGAATAAGTCAGTACGTACATACGTTGATGTTACACAATATCGTGGGCTCGATTTCCGCCTCTCTCTCGGGTCCAGTTCCCCGGGTGCGGTTCTCAAAGGTCGACGGGGGAGGGGGGAAGGAGCGCGGGCTCATTTTCCCGAACAGCAACTGATGCCCGAGCGGGTAATCCAGCCTAACAATATCCACGTGACGAAATTTTGTTGTTCCTTGCGCCGATTTTGTTACTCGGTCTACTTCGTGTCGCCTCGACTTCAGCCCGTAGCTAGCTAGCTTCCCGAAAATGTGTTGAAAATGATCAACTTATAAGACATCCATTTTACAGCTGCATTTAACTTTCAAAAGATCTCTTGAAGTGGCAGCAGTCAATTTAGAAGTTACTAGACTCGGTCAATTCTATTTAAAGGAAGGCGATAAGATATTGCCTAACAAAAATCAATAACACCGAAAACCAAAAACTTCCCCTTGAAACAAAAACAAAAACCAATGTTTCAGGTGAACGAAAACCGTGTAATGCTCCAGAAGGCCTTTTTTACACACACACACAAAAAAAGTAAATCCAACTGGTGAACCAGGGCCAAGACAAATTTTACAAATTTTTTTGAGCAAATTTTACAGTCGGTGTAAAATGAAAAGGTCTTCGATTTGGGAGAACGAGGATATACTTGGCTCCACACTAGAGCTTGAAATATAATCTAAGTGCACTTGGAACCTACTTTGAGTGTGAAAGGGTGAAATGTACTTACTTGGACTTTACTTATTAGTGACCATGGAAACGTTCGTAGATCAAAGAAGCCGAAATGCACCGCGAAGTATGGTCTACACCACACTTGAGAACGCACTTGACCAATTTTAGGAAATGGAAGCCAACTAAAAGCGATGTGCAGCATTGCTATAATTCTGATGAACGGACCGATAAACAACTTGATTACCTAAATTTCATTTTCATAGACAGCCTAAACCATCGCTTTTCACATCATCCGACACCATATGCTCTTCTTGAAATTACAAACCAGCTGCTGTTTCAAGTTTCAACCAGGTCATTTCCTTGCACTCGAAAAACTCTGTTGAACATTGCACGAGTCACACGGAAATGCATTTTCTAGGTCAGCTAAAGCCATACAGCGATTTCTTTGCCGAAAACCGCGTTGAGCCATTCTAGAGAAATACAGAAGATGTCGTTTGTTCCTTTGCTCTTTAGCAACAAAGCAACTATGTGCATTTCTTCACGATTTTACTGACGAACACTCGCATTTGTGATATGTATGACTGATTTTACTGCGAAAATGCTTCAAGTAACACACTTTGCCATCGAGGTTGCCTATTCACCTAGTTAGGATTTCGAGTTGGATTTCGAGTTGGATTTTCGAGTTGGATTTTCGAGTTAGGATTTTTTGGCGGGATTTTTTTGGCGGGATTTCCAATAAATTTTCAGTGGTTTGATGATTTAAATGGTTGACAGGCCAAACACGACTCCTATTGGTCAAGATAGAGCTAGCCAATGGCGTA